AACAACGAATAGTTAGGAAAGAAAAAGAAACCCCCCTCCAAGCTGTAACAAAGTGTACTTTGAGTACATCAGGGACCATTCAAGACTAGTGCCTGGGGATTCTGTTTTTTGTCTGTAGTGCTTGGCTTCTTTTGTATCCTGTGTCTTGCCTGTTCAAAAAAGAAAATTCTTCTTTGCTACTCCCCTATTCCTGCTGAATGCAACAACCACGCAAGAAATAACAATGTGACTCTCTCTACCTCTGACCTGCATTGTCATCCTCTGAATTCTATTAGGAACAACAATTCCCCAATGTCTGGTCTACAGAGAGTACCAACCCCCTACCCTTCCCATCTCCAGATGTTAGAAGAATGCTTCACAGCAGGGATCATAGAAATGCCAGTTCCTGTTTGCCCCATCCTGAGCTTCCCTTCCCAATGGGAATCAGATGTTTCCTCACTGGAATTCCTTGAAGAAGGAGGTTTCAGGTATCCTATTGAACCTCTACCAAATGTCACTTGCCACCTGTTCCTGATTCCAGGTCCCTCAGAAACTTCCAGCAATGACACTGTGGTCTTGCATCAATTCCCTGGGCCCCTGTAAATTCCCTAAGATACCTCGGAAGTGTCCACTGGATCTTACCACATTGCTCCCATATATCTATTCCCATCCTTATCACCAATGAATGTCTCATCCTCCCCAGATCCTGACAGTCCTCCCACTGAATCCTCAGACTCTCCTAATATGCCCCCTCTTGCCTCTGATGTCTCCAACAACAGCAGCATTGCCCATGCACCCAATCTTCAACTCCTGGCAGATGTCAGCAAGTATATTATGGTGTCAGAAGGAGGTCACAGCAGCAACCCTCAGGAGTTTGTGGTTTACAGTGACAACATCATCCAAAGGCCAGTCAATGACATTGCTAGGACATGGCAGTCTCTTCCTTTTGATACTTCTACTCCTATTCAAGATGTCAATCCCCTGGAACAAATCATGCCCCATTTCCCTGGAGCCTACGCCAACTTCATTTCATGACCTCCTATGGGCATTCCTATTGATGGTAATCCGGCCTTTGGACTCCAACAGGTCTCAAATACTACAAGCAGCAGCACTTTGCACTGCCAACCCCATTGGAAACTGGAATTCATCAGACAAAGAATGGGAGGAGGACACTTGGGAGTACCTGCTAACACAAGATGACAACTTGTTAGAGAGTCTGTGGGCCTCTTTGCAGGACATCAGAGATCCAGGGGTGATTGATGAAGTCAATTGTTAAGGGACCTAATGACTGAGGATCAGGAGTTCAACTGTTAACTGGTACTGGAACTTATACATGCTATAGTCCTACTA